TCAAGGACTCGATTTTAATCACAGTTCGGGAGGGGAATTTGCGGATTGGAGTGGGGAGGGGTGGGTGGTGCCTAGTAATGGGCGATCGAGGGGAGTTAAAAGTGACAAGTCTCAACTATTTGTATTTTTTTTTCAGAAATGTAATTAATTGGTAAAAAATGGCAACAACTCAAGGAGAGATTAGGGTGGGTCCTGGCAACCAGGTAAAAGATATTTATGTACGTGAGACCGACAACACGGTAACAGCAAAATTTTTATTCGAAATTAGGGTCGAAATTAGACATGGTGGTGTGTTTTAATTTTGTTTTAAATTTCCACCATTTTTAATATCGGCCATTGGCATGTTAGCACGGGGTATATTGGTTGTGTATAGCATGTTGGTAGACCTGGTTGAAACTTACTAGAGACGTAACTCCAACCAGTTGTACATAGGCCCCGCCTTTTTTTCCCCCTACCCCCCACCACACAACTCTACATCCCGTAGATTATTATAATGTCTTGGACTTTATTTATGATCGGTACTACTCTTGTTGTCGGCCTACTCTGTTTTCCGCTTCCGATATTTATTAAACGGTAGTACCTTTAGAGTTCCCAATTAATATAAGACCCGATCTCAGGCGCGTTTGCCCGAATACCGACCGGGTATTTCACCGGAATTGCTCTCTCCCGATCCAGAACAGACCCGTATTAGAGAAGAATTGAGATGGGTGCCTGCCATGACCCTAGATTCGGACCTTTTGATGTATTTGAGGGCGGCCAGATCAATGGCCGCTTTCGCAGGCATGTGTGACGGTGGTTGTCCGGAAGATGGCGCCAATGCGGCTTCCAGAGATGACACTACCATCAACGCACTAGATGTGGTATGTTTCCCTAACAAACCAAAAAACTAAAAAAAAATAAACACAAAAAAATAGTTACATGACTCGGGATACGATCCGGGGAAAGCCCTACAAGCATTAGTCAAATGTCCGGTACCAAAAGGCATTGATAAGAAATGGAGCGAAGAGGAAACTAAACGATTCGTTAAAGGTTTGAGACAATTCGGGAAGAATTTTTTCCGAATTAGAAAAGATTTATTACCTCATAGAGATACGGTAAGTGATTAAATCCTTCGTTTAAATCGGCTTAAATTTGATTGGTCTAGCCTGAATTGGTTGAATTTTATTACTTGTGGAAGAAAACACCAGGAGCCAATAATAATCGACCACACAGGAGGCGGCGTCAAGGTTCATTGCGACGTATCCGAAATACACGTAACAGTAGAGGGGGTAATAACGCCCCGTCTGCAGGTAAGACACACCCACCATACACACCCACTCAATCTGATTGGTTACTACTCAGGACGTACCCCAGTCGAGACTCCGAGTCCCCAACCGGGTAAAGAACCCGGAGAAACAAGTTCAGTAACAGAAGACGACAATTCGGAAGACGATAGTGACAGTCGTGAGGCTCAATACCGTTGTTCCCACTGTTTCACTACTAGTAAGTTTATTATTTTTTAAGTTGGTACTACTAATAATTTCATAGATTCGAAAGATTGGCAACCTGGTGGTAAAGACCGTCAACTCCTCTGTTGGGACTGCCGCGCCCATCTTAAAAAAACCAACGAGCTTCCCCCACTCACCGCCCCTGCTGCTATAAGTGGCACACCTCCAATCGGTAAGCCACACCCACTAATCCCCACCCCGTTTCAACTCTTAGTTATAGAGAGTCCCGACGCTAGCCCACAACGCATGCGCACAAGAAACAAAGCAAAGGAACAAAATACGAATCGTGCACGACCGAAACGAGGCGGTACGGAAACACCCGAACCGAAAACTCCCGTTAAATCGAGTAGTCCGATGGAGAAAAACACGAATTCGGCCACGCCTGCTAAAAAGAAAGGGAAGGAGAAGTCGGACACGCCCTCGAAAAACCGGAAACGGACACAAGATAAAATAGAGGATGCGGAAGTGGATGAGAAAGAGTTAGGATTGTTTAAGAAGAAGAGAGAAAGAGCAGAGAGTCCGTCGAGTGTGACAACGGATTCAGGATCGATTAATGATGATGTTGAGGCGAATGAAGGGGAGGGTGATAGTGGCGAATCGACCAATCAGGAAACTAAAAAGATTGAAAGTGGGGATGAGAAAGCGGTGGGGACAGTACCGGTGATTATGTCGGCGAAAACGGTCACGCCCACTGAGCCACTCCCACTCAACGTTTCAATTCGACTACCTGATGATATAAATGAACGGAAAAGTTTAATCAAAAGCGGACCGGAAGTCAAACAGGAAGTGAAAAAAGAAGTGACTAAACCGGAAGTTAAACCGGTGGAAAAAGAAGTCAAAGAGGAGGTTAAAGAACTCCCCGATAAGTTTAAAACCGAATTAATAATCCCCAAAGTTGTCACAATGGAGAAAGTCATAATCAAGGAAGAAGTCGAGTCGAGTAATGAAGCAATCAATCCAAAAGACGAAAATGTGTACAAAGATAACGTTTTCGCCCCCCAAAATATGGTCAAAGAACAGATCAATTTCACTCTAAAAGAACCTGTTTTAAATCATTACCCCCAAAATAACCTCCCGTTAAATTTAAATCAACAACATGGAAATAAAGATCAAATCGTCAACATGAATCACTCGAGTTTTATCAAAGACATGAAACAAGAACCTAATTTTAATTTCAATCAAAGTAAGCCGCCTCAACTGTGTCACAGTATGAGCAACATGATCAAATTGGAGCCTCGTGATGAACCAATGGAATTGACGAGTCAGACTAGAAACGAATCATTTTCAAATAGCTCCGCCCAGAATCAAGCTCAGCCACCCCCACTTAACATCCCTACTGTTATCCCCTCCACACAATTACCGCCTACTTCGACGAGTAGTAGTCGCGATTATGAAGAATCTGAGAAACAAAGAGTGGAAAAATTAGAACGACCGGAACGGTTAGACCGTCCTGAACCAATCACATCGACTTCTATTGGCCAACCTCCAATCCCAAGTCTCATGCAATCAAGTAATTTGGTTACGATTGGTGGTAGTCAACCACCTATGAGTCATTACGGTTTTATGACCTACAACCATCCACAAAATCACGATAAGAATCTTCAAAATGAACCACAAAATTTGAAAATTAAACAAGAGATTCCCGACACGCCCTCGAGTCAGAGTAACGCCCCTTCGTCGCATTATAGCCAACCGGTCTCATCGGCCAGTTCGTTTATCCCTCCCTCATCTAGTCATTTGCCAAGCGATCCGTTACAAAGCTTAAAAGATGTCAAAGTTCCCGGGTATTTACCCCCACCGTCACAAACCACGCCCAATAGTAGCGAAAGACCGCCCTCGGGACCCGCCCTTGATAATATTAAGAAAGAACCCGAGCCAGCGAATAGGGCAAGTCCGGCACAAGTCATTGAGAAATCTCCCACTCCGAAAACTACAACTACGCCCACTCCAATCGCTCAAACTCCGCCTAGTACTAATTCCCCACATTCTGCAATCAATTTGATTAGTCCGAGTCCAGGAGCTCCGCCTCCTAGTAGTCTCCCTCAGCCAATCCATGCGTCACAAAGTGGCCACTCCTATCCCGGCTCTTTACATCCATCTCATGCTCTCATGCATCCGTCTTTCTTGCACGCCATGCATCAATTTCACACTCACCCCTATTCAGGTTATTCGTTCCCTTATCCCTACCCTTATCCTGTCCCCCAACCCCATGCTATACCCCCACCCTCGACTCGACCCGAACTAGCAAAAACAATTGATACTGTGAGTGCTACAGTACTCTCGTCACAGCACACTTCGAGTAGTACTATGACAACAAAACGTGAAATTCGCGAGAATGACGGTGAAGGGGCGGAGCGTCACCAAACACACGAAATGACCTTGACTCACCACCAATCAACTTCCCATCACAGTTCAGTCCACGCCAGTAGTGAGAAACAGAGTTATGGGGGCGGAGCCAGTCACTCTATTACTATAAGCCACTCCACCTCGACCAGTTCCAGCCAATCAGTGCAACACAAAGTGAACCAAAAGACAGTAAGGACAAGTTCTCCACACACCCCCACCACTCAATCATCAACTAGTATCAACCATTCAACCACACACACCCATCACCACACCCACCACCATGATCGACTCTCGCCGGCCAATCCCCTACTACGAATGCACAAAGCCCCGCCTCCGCAAACCAATCCACACCATTTAATGATTCAACCGCCGAGTATGGGTCACCACCCACAAAGCCTTCCTCCGCCCCCTATGACCGGTTCACTTGATGCATTACGAGCGCATGCCGCACAAGCCGCTGCTAATATGCAACAAGCTCCGCCCACTAAACCTCCACCCGTTGAGGAAATCAAAGTGGAACCTGAACCAGAACCAATCCCTGAAGAAGAAGGCCAAACTAGTCCAGTAGGACCGCCTCGTGGCCCCTCCCCCGAACCCAGAGTGGAAGATACAGAGTGTCACAGGAGCCAATCCGCAATGTAAGTGAATTTAAACAACCAATCATTTCGTTTGATTGTCTTTTGTTTAGATTTTTACGTCATTGGAATCGAGGTGATTACAATTCGTGTACTCGGACTGATTTGACGTTTAAACCGGTTCCGGATTCAAAACTTGCCCGGAAACGTGAAGAACGACTCCGGAAACAAGCCGAACGTGAGCGTGAAGAACGTGAGAGGGCGCAACAAGCACAAGCCCGGAAGATTACAACTCCGGAGAAGCCTGATATAAAACCCCCTTCACGGGGGCCTCTAGAGACAGTATCATCGCCTTATGAGAGATTCCCAAGGCCAGGATTCAACGATACTCCTGCCTTGAGACAATTATCGGAATATGCGCGCCCCCATGCTGGGTTTAGCCCCGGTCATATGCAAAGGTCACTCCTACCACCCGCCCATGTGATGGACCCCATAATGCAGTACCAATTGAACAGTATGTATGGACCCGGAGCCCGAGAAAGACTCGAATTGGAACATTTAGAAAGAGAGAAACGCGAGAGAGAGATGCGTGAAATACGAGAAAGGGAATTAAACGAGAGATTAAAGGAGGAGATTATGAAAACGGGGATGAGAGGCCCGCCCAATCCGATGGATCCCCATTGGATGGAAATACAAAGGAGGTGGGTGTAGTCATTTAGAGGCGTGGCTACGGAGAACTATATTAAAAGCCATTTTTAGTTTTTTAATTTTTGCCTATTGTTTTTTAAAAATATAAAATATACAGTGTGTATCCGGATAGGTGAAACGACTCTTGTGAAAGTTAAAAAATTTCGATTTAAGTTTTTATCTTTTTTTCGATTTAAGTTTTTTATCTTTTTTTTTAACCTTTAGACGAGTCGTTACATCTATCCGGGAACACACTATATATAAACAAAAATCAAAGAAAACTCAAAACGTGGAACTTAATTTTACACCTTTAGAAAAAAATCTATCGTACGCCCCTGATATCAGAACACAATTTTAGTTTCTATGGAGATACATAAACGTTTCCTTGACTACACACTACTTTGTTAATTTCATTAATTTAATTTTATTTAATTAATGATAAAATTTGTATTTAATTTTTTGATACTGATCCAGGAGTAAATAAATATTTTGCATTTTTTCGATTAAATTAATTTAGTGAAAAATAAACCATAGGCGTCGTGCCTCGTGGGCTGAATTTTCATTCATGTAAATAAAAATGCAATAAATAATTGTCCAAAAGCGCACTTTTACGAAAAAGTCTTTAAGTATCCGTAGGCGTGGCTTATATTTATGATTGTTTTATAGATATGCAGCGGCGGGTCTTGCAGGACCTGGAGGTCCCGGCCTCCCCCTCCACCACCTCGCTTTCTATCCGGGGGCGGGGAGTAGCGCACAATTGACCCAATTGGAGCGCGAACGACTGGAACGATTGGGTATCCCCGCCCCTCCGGGTCCGCCTGGCCCTCCCGGGGCTCCACCCGGCCACCCCCACCATCCGGCACACGCCGCCCAATTGGAAGCCGAGCGATTGGCTCTAGCGACCGATCCGATGGTCCGCCTTCAAATGGCCGGGATTTCCCCCGAGTATCACGCACACACTCACGCACATACTCACGCACACACGCACCTCCATCTGCATCCCCAGCAACAACAGGCGCAACAGGAGGCGGCGGCGGCGGCGGCCGGATTTCCGCTTCCCGGTAAGAGCGAGTATTGTAATTTCCTTTGGGAAAGTAATATAGCTTCAGGAGCCCCTGGGTACCCCCGTCCGGGGCTGATTCCCGGCCGTGACGCCCCCTTGGGACTGCATCATCCGGATCTGCTAGGGCGGCCGTACGCCGACCAGTTGGCCCATCAGGTAAACGGTTTGGTGGCTGTGATGGGGGTTTTTTAATTGTGGGGTTGCAGGCTGCCGCCCATGAACAGTTACAAAGACAAATGTTACTAGAAAGAGATCGGTTTCCGCCGCATCCTTCCATTGTTGCCCAACACGAAGAGTATCTGAGGTTGGTTTAATGGGGGTCGAAACGTCACGATTGCTTTTATTAATTTAGAAATTTTAGGCAACAAAGAGAACGCGAGCTTAAAGTGAGAGCGTTGGAGGAGGCGGCGAGGGGGTCCAGGCAATAAGGGGACTTAATCAAATATCATGTACAATGTTTGCGACTTTTTAGAAATATTATTATATATAACGGTTTTAATTTTTTTTAAGTATGTTTTGCAATCATAGAGAATAATTTTGTATACAAAGTATTGATGTTAGTGTTTTTTTAGCTAGTTGGACGAATTTTATATACAGTTAAGAGGTTTTCTTCTGTGTATAATCATTTTGACCAAGTTTGTAAATAAGTGAGGTTACAACGTGTCTTCAGTACTTTTTCAATTTGTGGCAGTCTTCCTATATTCTTTTCAGTGGTTTTTGTAAAAATTGTACATTATTTTCGTGTTATTCCACTAAAATGTAACTCTAAAAACTAACGTAACTAATTATTCAACTGTTTTACTTATTACGATCTGAAAGAGTTTTTTCATCTGTGGTATTTTATTTATATAATTTATGTCTTTATTTAATTTTTTGTTCTACACTTCTAAAGAAATAAATTTTTTACCAAAGATTTTTATTTTTCGTTTTCTTCTGTTTCGTAACGAATAAAACGATTTTAAATAATAATAAATGAAATAAAATAGGATATTTTTCAGGAAAGCTTTTTATATTAGAGAGTGTAATATATCGAGAAGATATTTCAAATGTGTATACTGTCTATATTAGTATATATAATGGAAATAAACAATATTCATTTGTAAGCTGTTTTGTTTTTGCTGACCCTACCAAAAAATCATTCAAATGAATCTTTTCCTATTTGAAATTAAATTTACCGCCAAAATTGTACGTTACAGGGAACTGTAACTGTTAAATTAAGACACTTAATTTAAAATTCTGAAACATTGAAATGATAAAAATAAGAATTTATGGTGTGATAAACGTACTTTTTCTATTAAAAATATAAACTACTAGGAAAATTCAAGCAAAATTACAAAACAAAGCAGAGGGCGCCACTTGTAGACAATGTTTTTCAAAAAAACTCTAGTTTTCGACTTGAAATTGTTTAAAAAAGACCAAAAATGAGTCGCAGACGTCAACAAAACCGCGACGACGAAGACAACGGCTTCGCAGAATGGGTAAATCAGTTTTTGCTACTTAAACCAAAACATAACCTCACTTTTCCACATGTCAGGGGGGCTACTTCGAGGCAAAAAAAGCCAAACTCCGGGAACAATACAAGGAAACTGCCGCTAAACAAGTCGAAAAAATATCAGATATTTTCACTGGAGTCTCAATTTTCGTCAATGGTTTGACAAACCCGAGTTCTGACCAATTAAAATTGTTGATGGCCCAACATGGGGGCACCTTCCACTTGTACCAAAGCTCCTCGACCACCCACATCATCGCCTCGAATTTACCCAACGTCAAGGTTGGTAATAATTATTAAAACAAAGTTTTAAATCCCAAATTTCAGATAAACAAATTGGGGTCACTCCCAATTGTGAAGCCTTCATGGGTCACCGACAGTATAGCCCTCAACAAACTCCTCGACTACAAACGCTACCTCCTCTACACCAACCAAAGCACCTCACAGCCCCGCCTCGACTTCCCAGTCGTCCCCAAGACAGCCTCTGACCCCCATTTCCTCCAAGAATTCTACTCCAACTCGCGCCTCCACTTAATCTCCACCCTGGGGGCCGAATTCAAGCAATTCATTGCGGACCTACGCGACAAACCCCGGGAGTTCCCCGGACGATCCAAACTTGAAGTTTCAAAAACCGGGGCTCCGCCCCAAACCCCCGTCGTGATGCACATCGACATGGACTGTTTCTTCGTCTCGGTGGGACTGCGTACGCGACCGGAGCTTCGGGGGCTCCCCGTGGCTGTGACCCACGCCCGGAGGGCCCAACTCAACCCCAATAAGGAGCGCGAGGAGACTGTGACCTTGAATATGGACAGGGTGGCACAAGGGGGCGAATTGGGGATGATTGACGGGAGGTCATCCATGTCAGAGGTCGCGAGTTGCAGCTACGAGGCGAGAAAATGTGGGGTTAGAAATGGCATGTTTCTGGGGGCTGCGGCCAAGCTGTGCCCCCAAATTAAGACAATCCCGTACGATTTTGAGGTCGGTAATGAATTTATTAATTTATTACTACCCTTAAACCCTTCTTTAGGGCTACAAAGAAGTCTCAATGATCCTCTACAAGACTTTATCCTCCTATACCCTCAATATTGAGGCCGTGAGTTGCGACGAAATGTACGTTGAGGTCACCGACCTCCTCAAAACCTTCAATTTGTCAGTTGAGGAGTGGGCCAATCACATCCGAGGCGAGATAAAGACAGCAACAGGTTGTCCTTGTTCGGCCGGATTCGGAAGTAATCGGCTCCAAGCCCGACTAGCCACGAAAAAGGCCAAACCTGACGGTTTTTACTACCTCAAACCTGAAGATGTCGAGTCGTATATGGCCGAAATCGCTCTCGCCGATTTACCAGGCGTCGGTTATGCAACCCTCAACAAACTCAAAAGTTTGGGTTTGGAGACTTGTGGTGACGTCCAAGTGGCGTCACTGGGGGTTTTACAGAAAGAATTGGGGGCGAAAATGGGGGAAACCCTGCTGGAACAAGCGAAGGGGATTGACCAGAAACCACTCAATTATCACCACGAACGGAAATCAGTCTCAGCGGAAATAAATTACGGAATCCGATTTAAAACAATCGATGAATGTTACAATTTTTTGGAAAGTTTAGGAAACGAAGTTTGGAGTCGTTTGAACGAAATCAAAATGCGAGCGAAGACTGTGACCTTAAAAGTGATGATTCGAGCCCCTGATGCCCCCTTGGTGAGTTGACAGTTGTCTAAAGTCTCAACTAATTTAAAATTACAGGAAACTGCAAAATTTCTCGGTCACGGCCTGTGCGATTCCGTGAGTAAAAGTGTGACAATTGCGCATCACATCTCTGATGTTAAAATTCTCCAACGCGAAATTAGGTCACTCTACGAGAAAATGAACGTCAATTATGGCGAATTACGCGGCCTTGGGGTCCAATTAACGAAATTGGAGAAATTAGCGCCGATTAATCCCACTTTGAGCAATTTTCTGCAACAAGAATCGAAGAAAAGTGACAGTAGTGACACCGTTAAGTCAAAAATGGCCACTAGGGGGCGTCCTCGAAAAAACTCAAAAGGACAAAAAAACAGTCTCAGTGACTTTTTTAAGAACAAGAAGGAGACGCCAGTGCAAAATAAGGCAAGTTTTATTCGAGAAATACCCTATTTGAATTTATTTTTGTAGTTTTGTTTACTAAAAGTGAGGTTGGTAGTGCGAAATTCCCTAGGAAAATTTTTCCTTAAATGTCAATTCGTAACCTGGCCTAAATTTTGTGTTTTTTTGCAGCCATTGGAGATGAAACCAACAGAAGTCGACCCCGAGGTCCTCAAGGAGTTGCCCCCCGAGATCCGGGCTGAAATAATCAAAGAGTACAATTTGGCCCCCAAACCACCGGTGAAAAAATCACTCACTTGGCCCCAAATCAAACCACCGGTGAAAAAATCGCCGTTTAGTGGTCTCACTTGGCCCCAAATCAAACCAATCCTCCACAAGTGGTTACAATCGGAGCAAAAACCCGACGATTATGACGTCACACTCCTCGGGGAGCATTTCCGCCAATTAGCGATTGATCGCGACATTGATTGGTTACCCACAGCTATGAATTTTTTGTACCGAAATTTCGGTGAAATGAACTGTTTTTGGCATAAAGCATATCACAAAATCGTTGATTTGGTACAACAAGGAATGGTGGCGAGATATGGAGGCACTTTGTTGATTAAAAGAGATTTCGATTGTTTGCATTGTGTGTAATAAATTCATTTTTGATAATTTTTAATCACACTTATCACCGGAGTCCTTTTCTTCCGGTTTTTCGCTACGTTGACAACTCAGATATGAGTTCATATCGTAGAACGCGAAATTTGTATACGCGTGATATTCTTTGTTTTTGTAATCTTCACCGAAAGTTTCCTCAGCCATTGAGAGTTTTGTGGGGTCTAGGACGTCAACATCGTCCAAAATATTCGGTAATTCTGGAATAAAATTACGTAGAAATTATTTTCTTTCTAAGAACTAACCTTGACAGTCTTCATTTGCCCCACAACAGTCCTTATTTGACTCAGGACAAGGGCCATTAATTACGGGATATGATTTTGACTCTTTCTTCTTCTCACAAGGGGTTGTTTCAAGGGCGCTACAAGATTTAGGCTTCTTCTTACAAGGGTCTTCTTTCTTCTTCTTGCAAGGATCTTCTGTCTTCTTCTTACAGGGATCTTCCTTCTTCTTACACGGATCTTCTTTCTTCTTCTTACAAGGATCATCTTTTTTCTTCTTGCAGGGATCCTCTTTTTTCTTACAGGGATCATCTTTCTTCTTCTTACAGGGATCCTCTTTTTTCTTACAAGGATCGTCTTTTTTCTTCTTACAGGGATCCTCTTTTTTCTTACAAGGGTCTTCTTTTTTCTTACACGGATCTTCTTTCTTCTTTTTACAAGGATCTTCCTTCTTTTTACACGGATCTTCTTTCTTCTTTTTACAGGGATCTTCCTTCTTTTTACAGGGATCCTCTTTTTTTTTCTTGCAAGGATCTTCTTTTTTCTTACACGGATCCTCTTTCTTCCCGCACTTATCTTTGTACTTATCACAGGGATTGTCAAAAGACGGCCTGTCTGTGGACTTTTCCCTCCTGGTGTCCCTCAAAAAGTCCCCCACAACGACTTTCGTAATCGTAAAATCGCCTCCACAGTCCGTCTTGTACAAAAAATTCCTGTTTTTCTCATCATAATTGCGACAAAAATCCCCTTCATCACTTAAAAACCGATTAAAATAGGGATTTATGGAAACTTTTGGATATTTCGAGTAGGTGATTTGATTGACTTTTTTCATAATTTCGCCGGCTTTTATGCATTCTTGTATCGCTTTTTTGTAAACGTGTTCGCGACGATTCGGTATAAAAAACTGATAAGGTTGAGTCTTGATGGTGCAACGACAAACACGTGAAATTTTGAAAAAACAGCCGAATTTTGATTTGTTCATTGCGAAAATTTTCACACGTTTTGTTGGGAAATGACAGAAAGACTTGTCAGAGGTTGCCAAGTTTTTTGCGATTAAAAGTTTTTTCTGATACAAAACGAACACTTTTAAAACCATTGTTTCTGATTTTCGTAAATTTGAGATATGTTATAGAATGTGAAAAAAATAAGTGACACGCATTTCACCGTTTTGTGTGTTGAAAAAACAGGGATGTACAAAATTAAGTGAAATTTTTGTAAAGAGCTGAATTTCTAAGATTCTGCCTTGTTTTTTGAAGACGCCAAATGTCCTGGTCCAGAAGTAAAAAGCCATTTTGGGGTGTGTAAAAACAAGGTATTTTGTTAGTTTTTTAGGCCGTTCTTGAGGTAATTTTCCATTATTTTGGGAGATTTTAACTGTTTTTTCGTGTACCCAATTTTTTGGTGGTCTATACATATTTGGGAACTTTTGGGGTGGATAAAAATTCATGATTTTTGAGAGGTTTTGGGCCCTTTTCGGTTGTTTGCTTTTGGGCAAACAGCTAAATTTGTAAGATTTTGCCTTGTTTTTTAAGACGCCAAATGTCCTGGCCCAGAAGTAACTAATTATGTTTATTTCAACCAAAGAAAAAATAATTCCAGGAAGCACTACGTTTAATCAAGCTTCTATAAAATGAATTTTCTTAAAAAAACTCCCTATTAAACTATGGTTTCCTTTTTAAACGAAATTCTCGTGTTGATTGACACGTTTCCAGAAATTTTAGAAAACTCCAAAAATCGCAAATATTTGATTCAATGCAATTTCTTGTATTTTGAAAACAAAAGAGAAAAAAACAACAAAATTAATGTGTTTTTTGTTTTAATTAAATATAAAGTAGATAGTTGTAATTCTTAGATCATAGCCTTTACGAGAAAAATCGTTTTATAGTGATCGTTTGGCATGGAATTACTCTTCTACAACTTTTGGAAAAAAGCCATTAAATTAAGCCTCAAAATTTTCCAAAAAAACAAGGTCAAAGGCNAAATTAATGTGTTTTTTGTTTAATTATTGATCGGTTTAAAATTCATAATTACATAAATTAAATAAGTTAGCAACAATGAGTTTTAAAAGTGATCGTTTGGCATGGAATTACTCTTCTACAACTTTTGGAAAAAAGCCATTAAATTAAGCCTCAAAATTTTCCAAAAAAACAAGGTCAAAGGCAATTAAACTAATTTGTCTGCGATTAAATTTCTCCGATAACGTTTTTTCCTTAATTAATTACGTAAAACGTCTACGTACGCACAACAATTGCAAAACTAAACACTAATTAGTAATTAGGAAAAATTCACATTCGTGATGAAGTAATTTATTCGAATCAATCCAGAAGTTACAAAAATATCCAACAAAACGAAAAACTAACATTTTTGGTATACGCATGCACTATTTATATACAATATTTTTCCTACTAACTACACTACAAATCAAAATACTCGGTTATTGCTTCTTATCAACAAACACTTGATAAAAAACCCAATCTTCAAGGAATGACGGCACAAAAGCATGCGAAGTGGTAAACTTAACCGGCGGTTGTAACTTCATAAGCTGCGTTTCGTACATTTTGAGTGCATCACCAGCAGCCGAACCGATCACCTAACAACCCCAAGTCATCACAATCCCCAAACAGTGATACCAACTTACATGCGTCATGAATTTCCCATCGGGTTTCAAGATTTTAAACGAGAGACTCAAAATTTTATTGATGAAATCCCACAACTCCCCTGTGGGGGCTTCCGAGAGGGGCACATCGGTCAAATCCCCGAAAACATAATCAAACTTTCGGCCCTCTTTGATGTACTGTTCGATGGCTTTCACACAATCCCCCACAATTATCTAACATTTGTTATTATCATATAATTACACAGGGCGACAAAAAAAAAGTCAAGTCGTGACAACTTGACAAATTTTATATCATTTTGTTCGTCTCAGTGAGACAAATCAAATGCACTAAAAAAATTTCAAAAAGTCCACACACTTTGAACTAAATATTTTTTTTCTAATTTAAATGAATTTAAAATACTTGAACTTTAAAAAATCATTACTCAATAACTATTAGGCCGATTTCTTTCAAATAAAGACCATTCTAAAAGGATGGCCTTGCAATTTGAAATTGAATATTGGCAAACTTTTCTTCGAAAAAGTTCGAAGTAAATCGAAGTAATCTAAGAAAAACCCTACAAGTATTTTTTTTTCTTCGTCACCATCGTGTAGAGCATCTTTTTATTAGTAAGAATTCAAATTTTTAAAATAATATACCGAGTAGTTTTTAAGATATGATTTTTTGAAATTAAGATTTGCTATTCAGGTATTGCGCCATGCATGTTAATCTTACTTCTTTTGCTTAAAAATGGTCAGTTGTACCTTTTTTTTTTTCTAATTAGAATAAACAAAAACTGTTTCTTTACTTAAAACAAACAAAGAGTACCTGTGTACTAATAAAAGCAAATAAAGAATTTTTTTGTTCTAAAAATTCTCACTGATCATTGAGCAAAAAGGCTCTAGAAGTTTAAAACAGTAGCTTTAAATATAAGAACAAATCTTTTTCAAATTAAATGACTTTCCATTGAGATTCCAACTTGTTCACTTTGTTCTAGCTTTCTCAACTTTTTTTTGAAAATGTTCTCAGCAAATGCTTTTCACTTTCTACTGATGTTGAATGCTGATGACTGACTTAAAAAGAGACAGAAAGAGCGCAAAACCGGTAAACGGGGAGAACAGCGTGAAAAAAGGTATAATTTTTGAGACGGAACAAAGAATTAAAAGCAAAAAGCAAAAAAGTGAAACAGAGAAAAGAGAGAATAAATAGTGACATAAATGATTTAATGATTTTGAGGAAAAACAAACAAAGGAGACAAAAATCATGATAAAAAGAAAGTGATGCAGAAAAAGTTAAAAGAAGAAAAAGACTTAAAAATAGATAGAAAGATGTTCAAAGTATACAGTGTAAAAGTGAAACTGTAGTTATTGAGAAGGAAAAAGAAATAAAAACAAAAGGCAAAACAGTAAAAGAAAAGTAGAAACAATAAAAATCAGACAGATGTAAAGAGAAAAGAAGTTTTACGTAAAGGGAAGGAAAGGATGAAACAAAAAGAATAAAAGATAAAAGAAATACAGAAAAAAAGGAAAGAAAAGACAGACTTTGTTCGATTTTGAATTTTATACAAATAAGTGTTTCACTTTTTTGGTGGTGATGTCGTTTATTTTTATAGCTTTTACTGTTTCTTGGTTCTTTTTGTAGACTTGCGATGTAATAAACTATAACATTGCTATTGATTTTATTAAATTTTATTTTATTTTCTTCTAAATTAAAACTTTTAAAAGTAAAAAAAGTAATAAACAAAAACTTAAAGAGAGACAAGACAAAAAAAACATTGAAAAATAAGACTGACCTAACAAGAGACAGAAAGAGCGCAAAATCGATAAACGTGGAGAACAGCGTGAAAAAAGGTATAATTTCTGAGACGGAACAAAGAAATAAAAACAGGAAGCAAGAAAGTGAAACAGAGAGAAATGATTTAATGATTTTGAGGAAAAACAAAGAAAGGAGATAAAAATCGGGATAAAAGAAAAAGTTAAAAAAAGAAAAAGACTTAAAAACAGATCCTTTTTGCACAATGACCAGTCGTCATTTTTACAACAAAAAACACTTTATTTGTTTTAATTAGTACACAGATACTATTTATTTGTTTTAAGTAAACAAACAGTTTTTGTTTATTCTAATTAGAACAAAGAAAGTGCAATTGACCATTTTTAAGCAAAAAAAAAGGTCTTAAAACAAATACTATTATAAAAATGCAATTTTAAGTAAGATTAACATGCATGGCGCAATACCTGAATAGCAAACATTAACTTCAAAAAATCATATCTTGAAAACTACTCGGTATATTTTTTTGAAAATTTGGATTACAATTAATACACGATGGTAATGATGAAAAAAAATACTCGTAGGGTTTTTCTTAGATTATTTCGATTTACTTCGAACTTCTTCGAAGAAAAGTTTGTCAACATTCAATTTCAATTTCATATCATTCAAAAGGGCAAGTCCATCCCTTTAGAATGGTCTTTATTTGAAGGAAATCAGCAAATTAGTTATTGAGTAATGATTTTTTAAAGTTAAAGTATTTTAAATTCATTTAAATTAGAAAAGTGTGTTGACTTTTTAAATTTTTTTAGTGCATTTGATTTGTCCACTGAGACGAACAAAATGACATAAAATTTGTCAAGTTGTCACGACATGACTCTTTGTTAATTACCTCATAATTGGGCCCTGACATTTTATCAAGGACGTCCCCACAGATCGAACGCATGTGTTTTGCACAAGCTTTCATCACAACTTCATCAATTTCAAGCATTATCACTTCTTTGGGTTTTTCTTTCAAAAGTTCGTAAAGTAAGGCCCCATCGCCCCCACCCAAAATCACAATTTCTTTATCTTTGTAATTTTCAATCCCGCGCCCCATTAACGTCTCAGTGTAGATCAAATCAGCCTCTGATATGTCTAAAAACCACAAATTTTGGTATTTTCACCATTTTTACAAGACACTCACTTTGTAGATCATCTAAAACGAGCATATTTCCCAAACTTTTCGAATGAACGATTTGTATTTTCTGATAGGGTGTTCTCTCCTCAAAAACCAACTCATCAATGTCATATTCGAGCAAACGATCGTCTAAAATGAGCCCCCATTATTACCAAAACTCTCATTTAGTGACAATTGAAAGAAAAGTGGAAAAGTGTGTGATTTGCGTGCACCGAAGCTAAACTGGCGCAAGTACGAACCTGAGGTGGGATAGTACCTCTTGAAGGTGCCCCTTTTGATCGGGACTAAGGCCTGACTCCTGTGTATTCCGACCACACGCTCGACTATATCCCGATCAAGCTCTCTGCACCGCTACAAAAACGTCGCATGCATAAAAAACACAAAAAAGCGGAGTCTCGAGACAAGCAAAATAAAATTTATCGAAAATGAAATGGGAGACAAGCAATGTCGCTTCGAACCTGAGCTAAGTATATAAACGTCAATATAGTCCCCTCGTTTAATCGGAGGAAGAAGCTTACAACGGTAACAATTTAAAACAATTCGTAATTTCTGTTCTAAAACTTTGGTTCGCTGTAAAAGAGTTTAGTAGTTTAGTAATCGCTCCGTTTTGGGGTTACCTCGAAACTGAGAAGGGCCTCCTGAGACTCCACTTTCAGGTACTCGATATTGAGGGTGATGAGACCCGTGTTGAAGATGCGGAGAGTGGCCGACAGCCCCCCATCGCTCGAATATAGCCGCAAAACGTCCGTTTCCAAACGAATCGTGGTCAAGGTTTTCAAATTGGCGAGGTACTCGCGAAGGACGTTTTCGATGTTTGAAGACACTACGGACACTTGAGAGTCGTTTTTGACGGCGGACGGATCCACGGAAAAGTCCATTAGAATCGTATTTACTGACATTTTGACGAAAATTTGAGGAAAAACGCCGGTTTTTCGGACCTAACCAAGAAATAGTGCGCGGAAATGTCAAAAAAGGAACCAGGGCGGTGCCAACCACACGGAGAAAAAACACCAACTATTGACATTTTTTTATTATCTTGACCGAATTTGGGCAATTTTCACCACAAATTGCAGTTCTACATCATTAAATATACTTCCAACTATTAAAACAACAATAATTTTCCTCAAAAGTACAATGTGAGGCAAAATTAAAGCGACCCAGTTTTGCCACCTAAAAAACCGAAATTTTGTAAAACTTGACCCAAATCGGGCTATTAACAAAACCATAAAGATAAAAGACAATAAAAGTGTTTTCGCACAGATTGACTCCCAGAAAATGCATAACAATCGTGATCTTATCAATCAAATTACTTAATTTAAGTCTTATCGGTTCGTTTTAAAGGCAATAAAACTCATAAATCAGTTTAATTACTTTTAACACTAAATTTAAACTTCGTGACCTTGATATGTCTTATCGCCAATTCGGACCAGGTTTTGCCATACTTATCGAAACAATTAATGTCCCTAATCGAGACACTTTTTTATATTTTTATTAGTATAAATAAAAATTTAATTGCACAATAATCTTAATACGTTTTTTTTTTTACAAAGTTGGTACAGCACCTTGACAAACAACCCAAGTTATAAAATTGTAATTAGTCTTTAATGGGTTTTAGGTCACCAACAAATGTCTAGTCGTTTAGGTCAAAGGTGGCGTTTTATGTGATTCGTCTCCAAAAATCCAAATTTTGACTAATTATATCAAAAAATCAAGTATGCTGTTTGTCACGTGATCTTGATCCTGTTTAAAACAAAGCTTAAAAGATTTCTAAAAATGGCACGCGTTCGCCGCCATTTTGATCAAAACAAAAGTCGTACGATTTTGTTGTGTTGTTGTCTAGACGTAAAAGATTACGAAAAGATTGTTTTTTCTTAACTCTCATTATCAGTTCTTTCCAGTTTGTTACCATACCGGACACACAACCAGTCAAAACATTAAATCTCTTATCGCAATTTTTTATTATTTGATTTGGAGTTGGCGCCGCTGGAAAAACCACCTCTCCTACCTGCGCCATTAAACGAAGGCGTGGTCAGGTGAAATTCAAGCGGTGGGGGGAAAACGATAAATCTCGAATTTCCATGATGGATATTAATGAGACTTTTTACCGGTCTCTTATCGATATTTGGTTGTTGTTTATGAATAGAGGAACTGTGTTAGACTTATTATTATTATTGTTTTGACTGACGTTAAATGATCGGGTTAATTAATCATTTTTGTGTTTACGTGGGTCCGCACACATTTTTAATCAGGAGAAATAAATAAGCCTTTTTGACGCGTGAAAAAGGCAAAAAAACTGAATTTCTCCCACTATGCCAAAAAGTCCAGTAAAAAGGGCGTGGTCATGGTAATGGCCGATTGAGGGGAGGTTGGAGCAAATTCTATTTAATCTATGGGTTAGAGTAATTGCGAAAACACGGATGATAGAAAATATTTATATTAAAATGTAAAAAGGGAAACAATTGGGAAGATAAATAAACCAATTAAACACACTTAAAAATTGGAAAATTGCCATGCCATAAAATCGAAAACGTGGCAATGAACTATCAGAAATAAACAATTTTTGCAAATGTCTCGGAAAAAATCCTCAAAAAATACTGTTTTGATCGTCTTTACGTCTACTCCACGTCAAAAAAAAAATAATCAAGCGTCTGACTTCAATGAAAATAGTAAAACAATGATAAGAAGAGGTTATCGATAAGAACTCTTTTATAAATATCGCTCCAAGAGAGTAAAGCTTCCAATTCATAATCGAGACTTAACACAGATCAGTAGTGACCGAAAGATAAGTGAAAAGTGCGAAAAAATGCCCCCAAACAAGCCCAACATTGAGAAAAACTGTGGCCAAATCTTCACCAAAGGACCAACAATAACACGAGAAATCTTCGAGAAAATGCAGAAAAACCAAACTTACATCATGGGCTACCAGATCCAAACCAGACAGTTCTGGGGTGAGTAAATTTTTCCCACCCCACTACGTCGCATGTAATGGCGCCGGGAGGGGAAGCAAACTCAATTGTAACATTTTTTAATGGCCACGGGAGGGGAAGCGGCCCGATGTCATCCCATATGTCAAAGGTTATCACTAAATCACAAAAGTGTGATAATTCGGCGAAAAACTTGTACGTCAATGAGGAAAAAGTCTCGAATAAGTGCGTCTAGACGTCGGGGTTATCACAGTTCGCTTTTGTAACATTTATCCGAGTTCAAATGGGTTAAAATCATCCAAGGTCGAATTTTGACAATACGGCGCCATTTCGTGATAACCTCAAACACCTGAACAATTTTTCATTTTTTTTTTCCAGTACTTTCCGGCCTTCTTGTCCTATTTCTATTGAGTTTGACCGGAGTTGTGGCTATGTGGTTCACCGAAATGTTCGATAATGCAGTTTTCTCGGTGAGTAATGGCGGCCGGAGGGGAGGCACACCTAACCTCACTTTTATTTCCAGAATTTGGCGATTATTCCCGATACGAAAAGTTACGAAATGTGGGTAAAACCATCCCCTAAACCCCTTCTCAAAGTCTACATTTTTAATTATACAAATGTTCCCGAATTCGAAAATCACGATGACGAAAAATTAAACGTCAAAGAAATTGGACCTTACGTTTACGAGTAAGTTAAATCACGTGACACGTGATCTATGTTAACACGAAAATGATTCTAGGGCGGCTTTGGAACGTGTCAATTCAAAATTTGACGGAAGTCATGTGACTTATCAGGAGCAACGTGTTTATAAATTTATGCCCGAATTGTCAATTGGACGTAAACAAAATGACAGGATTATTGTACCCAACATTCCCCTATTTGTAAGTCTTGCCAACTTTAAAAACGAAAAAAACTAATTTTTTATTACTCAGACTGCGGCCTCGCTCAATAAACACTCAACGTTTTTGACTAGAGTTGGTATTTCAAGTCTGTTAAACAGTCTCAATGCTAAGCCCTTCCTTAGTCTCCCCGCCCACCGTTTTATTATTGGCTACGAGGACAATCTCTACGCCCTCTCTAAGAGCTACATGAAATTCCAGAACCAGAAACCGTACGAACGCTTCGGATTGGTCTCTTCGGTAAGTAACCACGCCCCTAACTCTCAACCCCGCCTCTTAACCAATCAAATTCCAGAACGTTGGTATCCGTGACGATGTTGTCACAATCAACACGGGGGCCACCGACATCAACAAAATCGGATTGATTGAGAGTTTCAATGGTGAACCCGCCCTCAATTTCTGGTCAACGGCCGAATGTAACGACATTAGCGCCGCCACAGACGGTACTCTTTTCTCGCCCCGCCTCATACGCAACAAACGACCAATCCAATTCTACCTCAAGGAGATGTGCCGCCCCCTTCCCCTCCATTTCAAAGAAGAAGTGAAAATTTTAAATGGAAAAATCCCAGCGTATCGTTACACCCTCCCGGAGAACGTTTTCGACACCCCTGAACGTACCCCCTCCAATCAATGCTATTGCGATTTAGATCTGGGGGAGTGTCCACTTCAGGGCGTGTTCAACGCAACGGCTTGCTCATTCGGTGCACCACTTTTCATGTCTTTTCCCCACTTTCACAACGCTGACCCCGCCCTAAAAGAGGGCGTGACTGGACTTAACCCCGATTCGGTGGTTTATGAAACCTACGCTGATTTACACCCAACTTTAGGGTTTGTTATGGCGGGGAAAAACCGAATTCAAGTCAATGTTCAAGTGGCAAAGGCTTTCGGGATTAGTCAAGTTAATATGTTTGAAGATGGGCTTATGTTACCTGTCGCATGGATCGAGTATGTCCTTGAAGATAAGACACTCCCGGATGATATGGTTGGTATCATCTTCCAGACGACTTTTACCCTCAGAAGTCTGGAATTGGGGCTCAAATATGGCTGCATTCTCACGACCGGAGTGACCCTATTTTGTATTTTGATGATTTTGAAAAATAAATGGGAGAGTAGGGAGAGGACAAGTAGCGTGAGACCGTTACAAGGGAACGAGGAGATTTGCATGAGTGCGTGATTTTTTATTATGTACTGTTTTTCTGTGAAAAATGGTTTGAGGCTAGGCTAAACTCCGTCCATATTGGATTTAAGACTGATTTTTGTAGCTAGAATTTGTAATAAACTGCTTGATTTTGATTGGTTTGATTTAGTGGGAGGGGAACATTTTCGATAGTGAGTGCAAAAAGTGAGGTTATGACACAATATTTTGAACTCAAACTCACAAAAACATTTTTACGTAAACAGTGCCTTTACTTGAGCCACTTTTTGCTCCTATTGACAATTTTTGCGATTTAGTGGTGAAAAACATTAAGATGAAAAAGTGTGGTTATGTATAAACAGCAAATTCTCTTGTTTTTTAATCAATTGGGGATTATTTGATAATGTTTATTTATCCACTAAAGTGAGGTTATGTAACAATTACGAAGGAAAAGAAAACAAAAAAGGCATAACTTCGTCTAAACTGCGTTAACGAAACAATTTTCACCCCAATTATCCAACTGAATTAAAAACTTTGATACTTTTCTCGGTCAGAATTAAAAATTTTATATTCTGTATTGCTTTTCTGTGAAAAATGGTTTGAGGCTAGGCTAAACTCCGTCCATATTGGACTTAAGACTGATTTTTGTAGTTAGAATTTGTAATAAACTGCTAGATTTTGATTGGTTTGATTTAGTGGGAGGGGAATATTGGATAATGGCGACTTGAGGGGAAGTAAAATCCCGTCTTGTGTCACACTTTATTAACCCATTGGCACGTTAAAAAATCACATATAAAAGATAAAAATCTACCCCTAAATTGGAATGATAAGCAATATAATTGAAGTGCCATTAAAATATCTCGAATATAAAATACAAGCGTCAAGCCTAACAAATCAATACTTTTTCCCTTCTATCACTCAAAAATCACAACAATATGGCAACTAAACACTCACCTACTTACAACTCCGTCGTCATGTGATTCGTTAGAGTTTGAACGCGTTTCGCATTGCAACTTTTGCATAAAACATGATCGTCAAGGGGGTAACAGCCTCGGCCCTCCGCCTCGGACGATAATACCAATCCACAATCCTAAAACATCCCTAGAACCAACACCAATACCAACCGTATGAAAAACAAACCTCGCATTTGTAGCATTGGATGTGGAAACTGTGATCGAGGGCTACCACTCGCACGGTTTCCTCTTCGCCGGGCTCCGGCATAATCGGTTGTTTGCACACCCAGCATCGGGGGGCGAAAATCTTATGGAAGTCTTCGATGCAATGAACGCGATTGGTGGCATCGACTGTGAAGGGGATACCGTCGAGGCTCTTGCCGCACACCACGCAACAGAAGCATTTGGGGTGGTAGGGCTTGCCGGTGGCGCGGAGGATGCGGTCCAGGATCGGCTTCTGGCACACGCAGCATTTTTCCAGCGTGTTCTGGAAATTACGGACTAATTAGTTAAAAAAAAAGTGAGGTTATGTCAAAAACGCCGAAAAAAAATTGTTAAAAACTTGAAAACAGTCATCACAAAGAACAACAAGTGTGTATTTACTGAATTTCTCTTGTATTTTAATCAATTAGGGATTATTTGATGTTTATTTATCCACTAAAGTGAGGTTATGCAACAATTAGGAAGGAAAAGAAAATAAAAAAAGCATAATTTCCTCTAAATTGCGTTAACGAAGCAATTTTAACCCCAATTATCCATCTGAATTAAAAACTTTAATAATTTTCTCGGTCAGAATTAAAAATTTTCGATAGTTCAAAAAGTGAGGTTATGTCACAATATTTTGAACTAAAACTCACAAAAATATTTTTTGCGTAAACAGTGCCTTTACTTGAGCCAATTGAAAACCACTATTTGCCTCTATTAACAATTTTTGCGATTTGGTGGTGAAAAACATTAAGGTGAAAAAGTGTGGTTATGTAAACACCGAAAAAAATTGTTAAAAAGTGGAAAATAGTCATCATAAGGACCAACAAGTGCGTATTAACTGAAATTCTCTTGTATTTTAAACAATTGGGGATTATTTTTGGTAATGTTTATCCTTTAAAGTGAGGTTATGTAACAATTAAGAAGGAAAATAAAATAAAAAAAGGCATAACTTCGTCTAAACTGCGTTAACGAAACCATTTTAACCCCAATTATCCATCTGAATTAAAAACTTTAATAATTTTCTCGGCCAGAATTAAAATTTTCGATAGTGCAAAAAGTGAGGTTATCTCACAATATTTTGAACTAAAACTCACAAAAATATTTTTGCGTAAACAGTGCCTTTACTTGAGCCTTTTTGCTCCTATTGACAATTTTTGCGATTTAGTGGTGAAAAACATTAAGATGAAAAAGTGTGGTTATGTATTAACAGCAAACACCGAAAAAAATTGATAAAAAGTGGAAAACAGTCATCAAAAAGAACAACAAGTGCGTATTTACTAAAATTCTTTTGTATTATAATCAATTGGGGATTATTTGATCATGTTTATTTATCTACTATAGTGAGGTTATGTAACACTTAGGAACGAAAAGAGAACAAAAAAAGGCATAATTTCGTTCAAGCTCCATTTAACGAAACAATTTTAACCCCAATTCTTCATCTCAATAAAAACTATCAATTTTGTTGGTCAGAATTAAAAATTTTCGATAGTGCAAAAAATGAGGTTATGTCAAAAAAATAAAAACCGAAAAAATCCAAAAAACATTAAATTTTCGTAAGAAAAAACACGGAAAGTCTCATCAGGACTCCTTTGCCTTGTATTTTATTAAATAATTTACCAGATAGTCCTCCTCGCAGTAGGGCTTGCCGTCAAGGGCATAAAAGGGCTTCCCTTGCAAGTTGATGGCGCAGTGGTGACAAGTGAAGCATGTGGTGTGGTACAACTGGTCCATGGCGGTACATCCGCTATTTTCCCCTATGATTTTATCCCCACATTTGACACAAACCCCATAAACGTCTTGATCTTGTTCATTGTCCATTCCTTGGACCAGAAGATCGGTCAAACTGTCCACTTCTTGCAGTTTATTGACTTCCATACGACTCGCTGATTGGCTGGGGCCCGTCATAGTGCTACTATTGCCACTCACATAGGGGGCATAGAGTGAATAATTCGATCTTGAGGACATTTGACTTGGAGGCCTGGGGTTTATGGGCTCGTAAATGGACTCATACGTGGACGATGACTGTCACAAAACAAGAATTTCGTTAAAAAAAAACATTTTTATGTTAAAAATAGCCGAGTTATTGTGTTAATTACCTGAGACATAGCCCCATATCCATACAAAGAATCAGAATCAGCGTACTGGTTAGCAAAAAACGAGACAAAAAAGCATTAGTACCTCAAAACCAAGCTAACCCCAAAAAGCAAGGTCTCTACCTGCGATCCGAGACTGTAATTGAACTCCTGAGCCCCCGGTTGAGTCGCCCTCCTCAACTCGCTATAACTCGAACTGACGGGACTCGGGGGCGGCAGTAAATCCTCCGGTGGGGGCGGCAAATTCGTATTAATCGTACAAGGGGCGTACTCCCCCAAATTAGCCGTCAAATCGAGTGGTGGAGGCGGCGGTGGCAAATCATCTAATCAAATCAATTAACCAATGAAACGCAATGGGCGTGTCTAACTCACCTCCATTTGCATACGCCCCCTGCGATACATTACTATACATATTTCCCTCCCGTGGCGGGTGAACCAAATTACTATAAATCAAACCATCGGCGTTCCGTGATTGGCCCACTTGAATGTTACTATAGGTCACGTGATCCGGTTTAGTGTACGGTTTCGGGGTCAGATTGGTCGTTTTGATTTGGGGGCGGGGCAAATTCGCATAGGTGTTTTGAGGAGGGAGGTTTGAGTAAAGTTGGGAGGTTTGGAGACGGGAAGAATAAGAAGGCTCAAGGGGTTGTTTAAGGGGGTACGATTGAGGTATCTGAAACGCGTTTTTGAGTATTTACTTGACATGAAAGGGGCATTACCTGAGGTTGGGGCTTTTTGGGTTTTGGGGGCACCGCCGGTCCGATCTTCTTGGAGTTTGAGGGCAATTCAGTTTTGTTGATTAGCGCCAATTCGGCTAATTGTTTGTCCAAGTCGTTCATTTTTGAGGTTAGGGTTAGTCTAGTTGGCGGAATTTCACTCAAAAATACTAATTTTATCACCTCAAATCCACATAAGCACTAATACGAACACTCTAGAGTCAAATTATCACAATTTGAGGATGATTTCATCGATTTTGGGTGTAAACCTGAATTTTAGTGAAATCAGACAATGACACTTCACACAGTCGTCCAAATCGCAGTTGGCTATGTTTGGGTGATTAAATGTTAAAAACTAAATTGGTCGATTGTACGAATGAATCAACTATGAAAATGATCTCACGGGAAGCCCCCAGACACTCCATGAATGTTTTTTTTGCGAAAAATATCCCACCTTAGATTCAAACCAATTCTGCAAATTTCCCTGTCATTTGTCAAAAAAACGACAGGACCGGCTTGAATTAATTTAGTGCCCCAGCTGAATCAATAAATTCCTTAAATTCTTTAATGACGTGATTTGACCTTATTTGAGGAAGGAATGTTGAAATAAATTCCAGTGATAAAAATAATAAAATTGTTTTGTTAAGTACACATTAAGAAATATACAGTTTGTGTTAGTCGTTGGATTAATAATAGATGGCAGTGAGGTCGTTGGGCCCGAAAATGGCGCTCGGCGAGGCCGGATTAAGTAAAATTTCGTCGCTTCCAAAATCCAGGTCCGTACTGGGCGACTTCTTGTGGGCTATACAGAACGTGCAAACTCGGTCTAGTTTGTTGGCCAGCCTGAGACAGGGTTGCTCGATCGGCCCGGCCATTAATTGGGTCCCCAGATGCGAGATATAGCTGGAAGCCAGTCTCAAAGTCTCGATTTTGCTCAATTTTCGATCTTTCGGTTCAGTCGGTATCAAAGTTCGTAGTGTCGAAAAAGCCGTGTTTACACTTAAACAATTGCTTCGGATGAGTCTTACAACTGCCAACTTTAAATCTAGTTACCTGTGCGTTCTGTCTCTCTCGCGCGCATTGGCCTGACTTCTCTGTCTCACAGGTGTCACGAAATCCTCACATTTTTTTCTTTTGTTTGTCACTGGATCATAGCAATCCATGGTTGTCACACCACTACTGCGTTTCTAAGCAACAAGTGTCATAGCCGACTGCGAATGAGCTCAATTAAGACAATTTCGTGATATTTTTAACAGATGCTAAGGCGACGCCCACTCGAAAAAAGCAAACACAGGGTTTGAGCAAGGGCGGAAATGCCCAGTTTTTACCAAGGGACGAAATAAAACCATTCTTTGTCCAGCCGGACTTTAATTAAATTAATTTTAATTAGTCGTGCACGTTTAATTTGACGGAACGCCGGTAATTAAAACGGTGACGTCATATAGGGGACGTGGGGGAATTGCACTAGTCCGGCCCTGGAGGTCAAGGACGGAAATCATCCCTTAAATGGGTGACATTTTCAAAACAAATAAATCACGGCCGATGCGATGGCAGAGAGGACCATTTGTCGACCATGTGGGCGAGAAACTGGCCCATTTGTAGACAAATTACCATCTTGTGATGAATAAACCACAATTTTATTGTGCATTATTTTTTATTTCGATTTTTCATGGAAAAAGTGATTAAAATTTAATTTTTTTGTCTTTACCAAGACTAAAGGAACTTTTACGAAAGTTACATTTTCATGTTGTTTGTAACTAGAATTTTCAGAAGTAATTTTGAATGCTTAGGGTTGGTTACCCCCTTGTAGTTGACGGTTGAAGATTTCTGTCAACCTGCTGTCAATTATCAATTGAATTTTTCATACAAGCTGACAGGTGACTTAACCTAAATTTTGACAGTGGTTACGATATCTTTTGTTTGTCACCAAAAACCAACTTAACCAAATTTATGGCAACCTATTCACGAAAATTCCTAAATCTTAGGGAGTAATTTCTTGTTAATACGACAATAATTGAGTTAATTTACTCTAAACTGTAACAAAATAAGCAACCAAAATAGACATGAATGTGTATAAACCCCGCCACTGTGACTTTTGCTACGCCACTGCTTTTGACATGTGACCCCTCAAAAAATTAATTAAACTCTGATTAATTCCCATATTTTGAATTAAATGACGTTCAATGCACCAATTTTGTGTAATTTCGTTTTTATTATTATTAATCAATCAAATTTAACGATTAAATCCAAAAATTTTCGTTTATTGGGTTGGCCCTTTTGTAACTTCCAAGTTTGTTAGTCACATTTTTTTCGATTTTTTATGGAAAAAGTGATTAAAATCTATTTTTTTTTTGTCTTTACCGACATTAATTGATTTAATTTATTCTAAACTGTGACAAAATAAGCAACCAAAATAGCCATGAATGTGTATCAACCCCGCCACTGCTTTTGACATGTGACCTCTCAAAAAATTAATTAAACTTGGATTAATCCCGATATTTTGAATTAAATGGCGTTCAATGCAATAATTTTGTGTAATTTCTTTTTTTATTATTATTAATTAATCAAGTTTAACGATTAAATACAACAATTTTGGTTTGTTGAGTTACTTCCAATTTTGTTAGTCACATTTTTTTCGATTTTTCATGGAAAAGGTGATTAAAATTTAATTTTTTTGTCTTTACCAACACTAATTGATTTAATTTACTCTAAACTGTAACAAAATAAGCAACAAAATAGCCATGAATGTGTATAAACCCCGCCACTGTGACTTTAGCTACGCCACTGCTTTTGACATATGATCTCTCAAAAAGTTAATTAAACACCGATTAATCCCGATATTTTGTATTAAATGGCGTCCAATGCACCAATTTTGTGTAATTTAGTTTTTATTATTATTTATTAATCAAGTTTAACGATTAAATCCAAAAATTTTGGTTTGTTGAGTTGGCCCTCTTGTAACTTCCAATTTTGTTAGTCACATTTTTGTACGTCATAAACACAGCCAAACTGTAAATAAATCAATTGTTATTTATTAGCGACGTAATATTATTAATCGTTAAAAATAATGTTTGGTGTTTTTAGCGTGTGACCAGTTTAGGTTGGTGTTAATTACAAGTGTTGTTTGTCTTCGTCGCACTCGTCCGTTTTGTGTATCGGCGTCACTCTCTCCCTGTGTAGTGTTCGTTTTTACCGACATGGCGGGGGTGCTCGTTTAACACAACAGGGGGAAATCCCTCTTTATGTCAAGTGTTGAGTCTCTGGAAACTCATTTAAATAAGTGGTGACCCCAGGTGAGTCCCTGTAGTAAAATCACGGGCGTAACACAATCCTAACCTCAAAGTAGATATGGAACTCCACGAAGTCTCCGCCACGGCTGTGAGCCCCTATCGCTGCTACGTCCGCGGCAAAAACCACCAAACGGAGGGCCCCAATGTCCAAACGATCGGTTTCAAAGACGGTCTTGCTGTGGTGCAAGTCATAGATAAAGATAAGACTCCTGATAAATCCATCGATTTAACCAAACTCACTAAGATAGTGCTGAAAGTCGACCCACAAACCGGCAAGAAGTACATTCACAAGGACGGGAAACGGATCGAAATCGTGCCCCACACACTGGTCAAGAATGATAAAAAGACTGTGAACGGGGGGCCCCCCTTGCCGAAACTGATCCCTGCACCGCGTCGTGTCTTTCCCAAGGTGCTAGTTCCAGTCAAGTTCCAACCGGTGACACTTGTACAGAGCATGGGCCCCTTCAAAGTCAGTGTGGCCACCATGACGGACTTTGAAATTGTGGAGAAAAGTGCGCAGACCGAGGCGAAAAATCGCAGTGTTTTGACACAAACCGACCCGGTTTTTTTGGACGAGAGGGATTCCCTCTATGTGGAACAGTTGTGCAACTTTATTCTGGGTGAGAGCGAGCGAAGTGAGTGTGCAAGTCGCAGAATGATCGATCCCGGGAAACTCAAGACCAAAGAGGAGATACACAAGTTTAATTTCTTCAATGATATGAGGAAGGCACTCAATTTTGACCCCTCGGGAAATTTGTGAGTCCCCCATTTAAAAAAAATCAAATAATGGTGTTTTTTTTCCAGACCAATCCACGATAGTGTTATCCAAAATGACCTAAAACTCGTCCAAAAAAACTGTGTTGTTCTCAAGGCCATTAAGGAAAGCGTGAATATTCTCAATCAGCATGGTTTTGTAAGTAGATTTCTCAGAAATTGATCATTTTTCGGCTTAAAGATGATAAGGCGGTTTTGAGAGGTTTCTGTTTTTATCACTAAGGGGTTCCCATGGCTGATAAGAGTACCGGAAATTGGAGCGCTTAATACCAAAATTGTGGTATTTTACCCGTGGTTTCAAGGTCGCGGGGTTTTACCTCGTTTCATGCTAATAATCGGTAAATTGTGACGTAAAGTAAACAAATAAACTTGCATGATGTGGTGTAAATTCCTTAGAAATGATAACGAATAAATCGGATTTTGGAAATAATTTTGTGGGATTTGGAATAAAAATTTTTGGTCTAAAGTTGAAACATTTTTTTCGTAATTTTGTTAAAAAAAAATATTTATAAAATATTCCAGTATTAATTTTACGAAGTATTAACGTGTTTATCACTTTCTGGAAAATTTAGTCAGAAATTTTGACTTTACGAAAATAGTGAGCCTGGAGAATGTGATAGTTGATATAGTCAGAGTGGGCTGAGAAAAATGTTTAGTTATCAAAAGTCGATGATTTTAAATGTTTTTTTTTTTGGACTATAAAAGTGTCAAATTAATTTTTCTGTATTAAAAGAACACCAAAAAAAGAATTTCTTTGTTGATTCTGTGAAAATAGTGAGCGTTGGAAATGTGACAATTGATACAATCAGAGTGGGCTGAGATTTTTTTCGTAGTTGGTAGTTCTGTTTCTAAATGATTTTGTTGTTTTTCTCAGCCTTCTCAGCTAAAATCTGGAATAGAATTAAAGTTTTTGGTCGAAAGTTGAAACATTTTTTGTTAAAAAAAATTATTTATCAAAAATTCGATTCGAAAATAGCTTTATTATGTTGTATGTTTACGTAGTATTACCTTGTACTTTTTCTGGAAAATTTAATCAGAAATGTTGACTGTGCGAAAATAGTGAGAAATATGACAATTGATATAGTCAGAGTGGGCTGAGATTTTTTTCGTAATTGACAGTTTTGAATGATTTCGTTGTTTTACATGTCTAAGCTAATTTTGGTTCCAAAGTCAAAAATTTTAAAACATTTGTTGCATAATTTTGCTCACAAATGTTTAGTTATCAAAAATCGATGATTTTTTTGGACTATAAAACTGTGAAATTATTTTTTCTGTATTAGAAAAACACCAAAAAACAATTTGTTTATGTTGATTTTGTGAAAATACTGAACTTTGGAAATGTGACAATTGATACAATCAGAGTGGGCTGAGATTGATTATTTTCGTAGTTGGCAGTTCTGAATGATTTTGTTGTTTTCCACAGCCTTCTAAGCTAAAATCTGGATTTAAAATTTTTGGTTGAAAATTGAAAAAATAGTTTTTTTTTTATAATGTATTTAGTCTGAGTTGGTTGAGATTGTTTTCGTAGCAGGCAGTTCTGAATGATTTTGTTTTTCTAAGCTAAAATCTGGAATAGAACAACATTTCTAGTTGAAAAAAAATATTTAGCAAAAATTCGAATATTTTAAATATTTTTTTACTCTAAAATTGATAAAAGATAATAATAATATAAAATTAATTTTTCTCTATTAGAAAACACCAAAAAACAATTTGTTTTTGTGAAAATAGTGAACTTTGGAAATGTGATAATATTACATCAGAGTGGGCTGAGATTGTTTTTTTTTTTGTAGTTGGCAGTTCTGAATGATTTTGTTGCTTTCCACAGCCTTCTAAGCTAAAATAATTTTAAGGAAAATTACAGCACTATAGACGGTGTTTAAACTAACTTTATTATTTCTAAACAATATACTTTACATATTAAATGTGATTTTGTGGTGTTTTAAAAAAATATTTCATTTTACATAGCCACCTTAGATCTAAAGAAACTTTAATTTCCAAATCACGAAATCGAAACCTAAATATTTGTTTTTTAAATATGACCGATATTTTGCAATGTGTATTCTAGCCAACTTGTTATCGCACCAATTGATAAAATATTTTAATAAATAATTTTTCAACTAAAAACAGGCCCCCTTGCACTTGGCCATCATCCACGACGTGGACCTCGAGATCGTGAAAGCCCTCTTCAGCCACGGCGCCGATATCTCAATCTCCGACCCTGAGGGCAACACTGTCCTCCACCTCGCCATCGAGCACCGCCGTTTATCCCTTTTGAGGGTCCTCCTCTACAACTCCAAACCCTCAAATATCGACACCCTCAACTACGAAGGCTTCACACCTCTCATCCTAGCATGTTTAGCACAATCGTACCAAAGTGCCGAACTTTTACTCCTTCATGGAGCCGATCCGAATATAAAAGACATGAAATCGGGCCGAACGGCGCTGTTTCATGCTGCGGAATGCCACGATGGTGAGTTTTGGGTAGAGTTTATAGAAACCAAGAAGGATATCGATGCGTACTCGGTGTAGTGGGGAAACTTGAGCAGTGGCGTAACGGATACCTAAAGACTAGGATATGATACGATGTAAAACAAAACGTCCCCTTTGCGCCCCGTTTCATATTTTTGAAAATGCTACGAATACGGTTAAAGATACAAGAAAAATATAAAAAAGAAAGTTGTAGAGAATGAAATTTCCAAGAAAAAGGTCCGCGAGATGATTCCTCTATCTTCAATGGTTAAGGTCCTAAAGACGTTCAAAGACGCGACGAATACGGCTCATTTTTACCGGTGGTCAAGAGAGAGAAAATTAATTTAAACCTAAACGATTGAAGATAGAAATATGGTCTCGCGGACTTTTTTGTGGGAAATTTAATTCTCTACAATTTTGTTTCCTACACTTTTTTTGTATCTTCAACCGTATTCGCAGCGTTTTCAAAAATATCGAAAACAGTATTAAAAATAAATTATAAACAATTATCAGTTTGCGTTKCYCCCAATATTTTTAAGAACGCTYCGAATATGGTTAAAGATACAAAAAAAGTGTAAYAYACAAAATTGTAGAYAATAAAATTTGCTACAAAAAAGTCCMCGACACCATATTTCTATCTTCAACGGTTTAGGTTTAAATTGCTTTAAAGTGTCCCCCCGGTACTCAATCACCAATAAAAATGAAACGAATCCGTCGCTTGAGCTTCTTTGAACGTCTTTGAGGCCTAAACCATTAAAGATAGAGGTATGGTCTCGCMGACTTTTTACTAGAAAATTTTATTTTCTACAACTTRCTTTCTTACATTTTTCTTGTATCTTTAACCGTATTCGCAGCATTTTGAAAAACATGAAACGGAGCACAGATTTTGAATTTTAAATATTTTTTTTCTCATATTCTTCGTGAAAAATTTAGTGGTTCGTTGTTTACAGCTTATTAAAAATATAAAGCTCAACATTTTTGCATTTTTTTCCAAGCAATTAGTAAAGTGGTTGAATTTAAATTAATTAAAAACGATTTGAAACTGAGACGGTAAAACGCTCTAAGCGCCCTCATTTTTACTTTTTTTGGGTCCAAAAAATCAGGCAATTTTGTACATATCTCGTTTCGTCTCCTAGTATGTAGTTCTCCAGAACCATTTTGTGATAAAAAGGGAATTATAGAGTTGCATTTTTTTTCGTATATTCATTGACTGAGATATTAAATATAAAAAAATCATACGATGCTCCACGATTATGTCAAATACACGGTGATATTAATTTCTGTATAAATAAAATACGAACAAACAGTAAGGAATAGATTCGTTTATTAAAAATGTAAACATATTAAAAAACAATTTATGTAACATAATTAATTTTTCAAAGTTAACAAAAAATGCCTTAAAAATATTATTTATTAATAAAGTAATAAAATATTTTCATTACAGTATATGAATTAATTGTTTTCTTCAAATAAATAAGTGCGTATACACGCCACTGCTCTCAGCTGATTTCAGAACTCCCCTATATTTACGAATGGATTCGTCCGCGACGAGTTTTCGTCTCTGCGCATCCCTTCCATCGATATCCTTCTTGGTTTCCATGAACTCTAATAAAGTGGAATTTTTGGTGCGAAAATTGTTTTTTTTTAGTTGATTTGGTCGAGCTTTTGATTCGACATAGAGCCGATACGAAGATTAGGAACTTTTTCGGGACGAGTCCACATGACGCCATGTTTGAAGTCGAGGAAATACCGATGAAAATCAAGTATTGTATATTAGGGAAGGATCATCAGAGGTTCCAAGGTAAGAAGAAAAGCGATGGGAAAAGCGAACTGCCGGTCAAGAAGGCTAAACTAGAAACCACGCCCATTTTGAGGAAAGTTACAACCAATGATTTGTTAGGTATCAAGTAACACGGGTTATTTTTTTGTGTTTGTGTATTTTGGAATTATTTATTTTGTCCCTTGAGAGAATGACAGGACTTTTTTTTTAATATATTTGGACTTTCTGTATAATTCTGGAATTATAGATTATGTTACTTGAGAAAAAGAGAGAATTTTAGTTTAATTGTTTTCTAAGTAAAATGCATTAAGATTAAGGACTTCGTATTATTTATCATTATTGTATTCGAAATGTAAATAAATAGATCAGGTGACTTTATTCTGTGAATTTTTTTGTATTGTTATGGTTTTTATCAGAACTCTAATCACTTTGCGACAAATTAGTTACGAGAAAGATTATGAGTAAGAGTATCGAGTGTGCTCTGGATTATGTGAAAATGACAAATTAATTTAAATAAAATACAATGCGTCCCTGGATTGAGTTTACAAAATTTTTTTTAGTAGATTTCATTGAATTTGGCAATGGAATTTCATATCTAGGTTTGTAGCACTGCGCATGTCCCTGGTATAACAAATGGGGTTTTTGTTTTTCTTTGATTACTTACCTACATGACTGAATAGACTGATATTTGTATTCATTTTTTCGCTGTTTTTGTTTGTTATTCCTAGTATTTTTTCAAATTATAATCTAATCTAATTCCATGACAAGGTACTGCAGATTTTAACTGGTAGTAAAAGTAGGCAATGTTTTCTCTGTTGTATTAAAAGTTGCCTACCGCAAACATTTTTTTAAAATATACACATAATTTTCTCGTTTTTTATTAATAATTACAATTGTAATATACTTTTTCTAAATAATTTTTTTTTTCAACAGAATTAAATGATTCAGTGACGACATTAAATGATCATGTGACAAAATATTTTTTTTATGAACTCTAGATTGCTTATTTGTACGAAGCACCATTTTACAGGGTTTTGTGTTTTAATGTGATTGTTTTATTCGTTTAATGACGTTTTTTTTAAAGTTTAGTTCTAAATTTAATTTCAAACCTTTATTAAAAAAAAAACAACGCTACATTTACATTTTTTAGTCAAATAAGTCATAAATTTAAATTTTCTATATAAAAAAAAGAATTCTCTGTTACACTGGATTCTAGTGACAAATTTAGTGCCAAAACGCCCCTTTTTTAGTACTATTGTTTTGTTTCAAGTGGAACCAAATTTTTTACCAAAAGACAAGAAATAAAAACTGTAAGGACACGGAAAAACTGGGAAAAATGTATTTAATGGGTAAGTAAAATTTTTACTCATTTTCAGAGTCTGAAAGCGCCTTCGTAATAACACGGCTGATATTCAATTGACATTTTACGTTGCCAACGTAATAACATCAAATAACTAGTCGCTGATACCAACATAACACTTTGACAGTTGTTTTAAAAAAAATGGACTAGCAATTTAAATAAAGCCAAATTATTTTCTACAAAACAAAGTGTATGTTTTTGGTGTTAAAACCAGACCTACAAAGGGGCGAAACATTAAAAATAAAATTTTAACTATCTTAACCTCACTTTTTTAGTGACAAATTTTTTTTTCACATTTTTTTACGCCACAACTAAAAAATTTGAATGTTGTTTCCCCAACAACAAAAAATTTCCGTCGAACCGTCAAAATGTCAACTTCGGTAAACCCGCCCCTTCCCTTACCCCAAGTGACAACCCCCATTGCAGGCCCCCTTGCTCCGACTATGCCACTTCCAGAGCCCCTTTCTCCCCCTCCAATCCTACTACTGTTACAACGACGAAATCTGTTGTAAGGAAGGTTGCTGTAACCAATACGCCGACTACAAGTACTTCCATTCGTGGCATTTTTGGTACAAAATTTATGTTGTGTACAAAACTCGTCCAAAACAACGAATTAATCGTAAAAAAAACACTTTTATAGTCTTGGAGTCGTGGTTTTCGTGCTCCTCTACCGCTACATCTGCTGGTACTGCAAAAGGGCGGAGCGCCAAGACAACGTCCTCAGACTCCGTGAAGAGGAGACCCTCAACTCGCACGTTGTCAATTTAATGGTTTCTTACAACAACCGACGAAATGATCTAAGTAGTCTACGATTTTGAAATTAAGTTGGCAACATTGAATTTAGGGGAATTTTTTGTTCAAGATGGCGCGCCTAAGGACGAGGATAACCCCGACCCCCCTCCCCGCTACAACGTTGCCCTCCACCTCCCCAAACCCCCAAGTGACGAAGTCCCCTCCTACGAACAGGCAACTTCGATGCGCTAATTTTTTTTATTACCATAACCTACAATTTCGTGTAAATTTGTGTTATTAAAACCTAAAACTATATCTCCTTTGATCAAATGTTTGATGGAACTTTTCGCTTTTGTGGTATTTTTTGCCCATGGTGGTGCCCTCCCAAATTTGGCATACTTGAATTTAAGTCTGGTACCACCATCTGGTAATTTTTCATTTTCACCGTCAGGATTACCAACTTCGCCGATGAATTTCCTAGCTTTGGCTTCGTTCATGTCGTTTTCGATTTCGGCCTGAAAACCGTCGATTTTCTTCGACATTTCTTCAACATCTAGATCTAAACTACTATCTTTAAGACCATTTTCTTCATTATTTGGTATTATCCGTTCTTCATTTACGTCACTAAATCGGACGCTCTTTCTTCTTTTAATTGAAGAATGTTTAGGTGGGGGCGGTGGGGCAACAGGAGTTGCCGTCACATTTAAAATTAAATCCAAAGTGGGTTCAGGTTCTTCTTTGTGACTTTCTTCATCACTTTTCTTTATTTCTTCACAATTCTTCCTTTTTGTCTTCTTTCTTTCAACTTCAAATTCGTTACTTGAACAACCATTTTCACAATTAATGTCAAAATTTGGGTTGTCTATAGCGAACGAATCTTCATTCTTTTTCTTCTTTCTTTTTACCTCAAAATCGTTACTCACTTGACTATTTCCAAGCTCACTTGTTTCAAAGGTGTCAAAATTTGGGTTGTCTATCGCAAACGAATCTTCATTTTTCTTCATTTTCTTCTTTCTTTTGACTTCAAAATCACTACTCATTTGACTATTTCCATGCTCACTTGTTTCATTAGTTTCAAAATTTGGGTTGTCTGCCACAAACGGATCATTTTTCTTCATTTTCTTCTTTCTTTTGACTTCAAAATCGCTACTTAAGTGACTATTTCCAAGCTCACTTACTTCACAAGTGTCAAAATTTGGGTTGTCTAT